TTTTGAGAAATCGAATACTGATTCAACAAAGTAGTGGTTAGGTACCAAAACTTTGAAAGGTGAAAATGATCGATTAGTTCATTTTAAAATTATTAAGTTCCTTGTCCATTTCAACAACTTGATTTGTCTCATTTCCGACTGAAAGGACACTACTTCAATAGGAGATCTTGCATGCTGTTGGTGAAATCCGCGCCAGGGATTGTACAAGTGTGGGGTATTAAACATGACAAAACACTTTTGTATAACCTCTTCCTATGTTTCTGCGTCATTAAGAATGAAAAACCTACGAAATGAAAAAGAAAAGCCACTGCCGAGAAGTTTGACCGCGATGGGCCTTCGAGGAGACGGCCTCAGAGAAGAGGTTGTATCTACGCCGGTATATTACGCTTCTAGCGGCGCGATTTGCTTTGTGAATTTTTTTAAACGTCTGGTGAGTTCACACAAGACATGGTAACTTATTAGCTGACAGATTTTCCCTTCTCGTGTTAACAAGGTCTTTAGACATTATAACGAACCTTGTTGACACCCCTTTCGTAGTCTGGATCAGCTAACATTGAACGATACTTGTACGCAAATTTGAATGCTTCAATGATACGGTGATATGTGCGGACGGGGTCAGACTCAAGATCTTTCGGTCCCATCTTATATCCTGTGGCGAGAAATTAAAACATTACCATTACACCATTGTACATAAGACGACGTCACAATAATATAGTTGACCAAATTTTGTCACCTTTTTTACTTCTTTTAACACTTTGCTGCAGAAAAAGCTTATTATGGAATTCATTCAAAACAATTTTCAGTCGAGTACGTTGAACCAAAATCAGAAGACAAGTCAGTGTTCCTTAAGCCAATCAAAAGAGATGCAGACACTTGAAAGAGCCAATCAGCGAGCCCCGTGGGCGGAGAGCCACTCAGAACCCGCAGAAAATCTTCGTAACCGGCCCAAAAAGCGGGAAAAAAGTGGTAACAAGGCACAAGAAGTGTTTGCTTTATTGGTAAGTGGTTAACAAATAAGATTGTTCCTACCGTCCAAAATGTTCAAAGTGAGTGCCAGCACTGGTCCAGCGGTTGGCGGCGGGCAGCTTAATAATGTCATGTCATCCAGCTTGCTTTTTAACACCGGACGGAACTTGACTCTGTAGTTCTTTAGGTCGTTCAAGTTCATAACTCCTCCGGCTTCCTGAACCTCTTTTACAAGAGTTTTGCTCATTTTACCATTGTAAAATGGCTCTGCACTGCCCGCTCGGGCAATAAATTGTAGTGTCTTAGCCAGCTGAGGTCTCCTTAGCAGGTCGCCTTTCTTTAAAAGTTTCCCATTTCGGGTGAATACTCGCCTTTGAGAAGAAAATGTTAACAAAACAAAGCGTTACTTTCTTGCAGAGGACATCAGTTAAAATTCCGTCTGGGAAGCTATATTAAAAAAACATCTAATCGCTTCAAACCCTCTAAATTCTTTGTCTAAGAGCTGAACATCGCGATGGCAAAGCTTCCAAGAATAGTAAGCGTCACTTGGTATGAAAAGTTAGCCTTAGAATTGGAGCCAATCAAAAACAGCGAAATATTTTGAATGAAGAATCTAACATTTAAAATTTGGCCAGGATTGGATACTTCACTGTAATCAGATACAGTGAAACCTCTATTAATTAAGCGGACGCCTTCCCAAGTGTCCGCTTAATAGAGGCTGTCCGCGTAATAGGGGATTGTAAAAATTACGCAATGTTTGTTAACGATTAATTAACATTTTAAAACGGTTACTCTGTACTGTGATAGAGTGATAGAGGTCCATGTTCTTTAAGGAAGCTAAGGAAGCTGTGCTGTACTTTGTGCAAGACTTTTAGGACATCGTTTATCGTTTACGGCCGGATATCGGTCTAATCTACAGTTTANTACTTTCTTGCAGAGGACATCAGTTAAAATTCCGTCTGGGAAGCTATATTAAAAAAACATCTAATCGCTTCAAACCCTCTAAATTCTTTGTCTAAGAGCTGAACATCGCGATGGCAAAGCTTCCAAGAATAGTAAGCGTCACTTGGTATGAAAAGTTAGCCTTAGAATTGGAGCCAATCAAAAACAGCGAAATATTTTGAATGAAGAATCTAACATTTAAAATTTGGCCAGGATTGGATACTTCACTGTAATCAGATACAGTGAAACCTCTATTAATTAAGCGGACGCCTTCCCAAGTGTCCGCTTAATAGAGGCTGTCCGCGTAATAGGGGATTGTAAAAATTACGCAATGTTTGTTAACGATTAATTAACATTTTAAAACGGTTACTCTGTACTGTGATAGAGTGATAGAGGTCCATGTTCTTTAAGGAAGCTAAGGAAGCTGTGCTGTACTTTGTGCAAGACTTTTAGGACATCGTTTATCGTTTACGGCCGGATATCGGTCTAATCTACAGTTTAATGACAGCTAAATGTATTGATTTTAATTTATCTTTATTAATCGACAACAGTACGTATTTCAAGGAGGTAATAGAACTATTGTCAATTCAGTCCGGTGCCTGCTTAACAGAGGTTTTTAACCATAGAAATTACCCAAATACAATTTATTGTAGTGCCCGCGTCCGTTTAATAGAGGTGTCGGCAAAAGAGGGTTTCATCATAAAGAGAAATATAAGACGTTAGTTTATTTCGGGACTCGGCTTAGTGTACGCTTAATAGAGGGTGTCCGCTAAATAGAGGTTTCACTGAATTATCGAGCATACTTCTCACCTAAACGTTTTATCCTTTAGGAGCATATCCTTCCAGATGTTTATGGCTATTCCGACAGTCTCTGGAATGATAAAGCCTTTCTTTGCAATGTTTATTGCCGGCTTAAAAAGCTCCTTCCACGGTAACTTGCCATATTTCTTCCATGCAGCCTCTAAACCTCTCAACTCACCAGGAACCGCTACCGCTAATCCACCTGGGAAGAGGAAAGAAGAAGAACCTACTCTCGGCAAATGAGTAAATCGTATTTGCTTTTCTAGAGGGCTGATCTTGGACTAGCATACATGTTACTTGAGGCTTATGCAGTGAATATCATTTTAAAAAACTATTTGCGTGTGGAAGGATACCCTGTGAATCAGAATTCTTCGCATTCCAGTTTCTGTTCAAGTGTGAAAATGGTCTAGCCAATGGTTGTCTCTTGAACGGTCGTTTTTTTTCTCATGGCTCGTTATGTGTCCATTGTTTAATAAGGATAAATGGGTGACGATGAGCCTCCTACAGAGACCTTGTTCTGGCTCTTCGGGCAACGATGAAGACGAATGCGTGACTCGTCACGAACTTGAATGGCTACAGTTGTAGCTAATCCTGGATGGAGCCTTGCGTTCACAAACGCTTCATTTTTCTGCTGATTTTTATGATTAACACTATATCCTTGGCATTATTCTGAGCCAAAAGCGTAAAAAATTAGAAATACTTTGACGCCAAATTTGGATGCTTCTATGAAAGGTGGCATTAACTCCACAAGTCTTTGTTGTTTTTGTTTACTCCTTGGGGCACAGCAACTAAAATGGAATGCGCAACCTTACCTTTAATACCGTTCGTTGGATTTCCTTTAAACAAGTTTTCGTCAGACTTCTCAGGGGCGGTCTCTCTAAAATCGATCATCTCCCCTGACTTTTTATAGCTGTCATAGACCATCATAAAGCCTCCGCCACCGATTCCAGTAGAGTGCATATTAATAACACCCACACATAGGGTGGCGGCTATAGCAGCGTCGACAGCCGAGCCTCCCCTTTTTAGGATGTTCCTCCCGGCTTTTGAGCATTCTACATTATCCGTCGCAACTGCTGCATGACGATATCCGTACTGTTTACTTGGAAGTTTGACCTTGGTCGGACTGCGTTTTGCAGGGAAAGACATTAAAAACAGCTGTCAAGACTCACTGACTAGTAAGTTATGAATTTGATTTTATCTAAAATAATCCAGGTAAAAAATTTTTTTTTTGACCATTTAAATAATTTGGGGCCCCCAGCCCCCCAGCCAACCCGGCCCTCCAGCCTCCTAGCGCCCCCAGGCCTTCCTTTCCCTGGTCCCTGCTTGACGTACACCGAACCCTAATCGATAGGCGTTCCGTATTAAAGTTGATCACTCAGAATGAAATTCAAGTATGTCAATTAATGTAGCCTCTGCTGAGCAGGTTCTGCGATTCACTTATTTCTAGTCATGAAATTCAAGTATGACAATCAACAGTACAAGTGACAAAAGATCTTACAGAACGAATATTATTCCCTTTGGAGGGTATGCTAGTGGATTAAAGGGTTATTTCCTACAGTATGTTATAGGTTCCCATCTACAGTGTATGCACATGGATAAATCAGACAGCCAAGGTGAGCCATAGTTTCATGTCGTTGTTGACTGTTGTCAGTTTCTTTTGCGTTGCCCATTCCTTGCAAATATCTCCTTTTCCCGTACAATCGCAAGTCTCATGATTAAGTTATTTTGTCATTCTCACTTGTTTTGGGGAAAACGATTTTGGGACCCAGTTCCCTTCTCCAGCTCTGACGGTTAATCACGTGAGAACCGTTTCGGGATCAACACGGTTCTTTCTTTCTGTTGTAGATAAGCCGCTGGTGTTATGACTTTACAAACTATGCTCTCTCAACGGACAACATTGCAAATGATCGAGCAGCTTCCTAAAATGGACATCCAGAGTTGGTCCCTGCCGTTTTTTTATTTCTTGGGCTCCTGCTTTTAGTTGAATCTCCACAAGACGAACACCCCGCCAAAACGGACACCTGGAGTTGGTGCCTGCCTTTCTTTACCCCTTTTAGTTGACTCTTTATAAGACGGACATCTCTCAAGAGGAAAGAATATAGTGCCAGTTCTAAAGGTGTCCGTCCTTAGAGAAAGTTGGCTTAGTTTTAAAGCGATTTCTACGAAGCTGTAAAAGGAAAGGTATAAGTTTTTTTGCTTGCAAGCAATCTCTTGTTGACAATGTTGCGTTTATATGTGTCAATTAACTGATAAATTTTAATATCGACTTGTAGTTACCGCGGCAATAAAAATATTGCCTATCAATTTAAAACTACTGCACCACCAAACGTCCCCGAGCTGAAAACTGTTAAATGTTCAGATTTATTTTTATGGCTGAAATGAAGCATTTTCTTACCTTCCCATCATAAAACGTTTTCTCAAATTCCGCACAAACGGATTTAAAATTTGGCCAGGATTGGATACTTCACTGTAATCAGATACAGTGAAACCTCTATTAATTAAGCGGACGCCTTCCCAAGTGTCCGCTTAATAGAGGCTGTCCGCGTAATAGGGGATTGTAAAAATTACCCAATGTTTGTTAACGATTAACATTTAAAAACGGTTACTCTGTACTGTGATAGAGTGATAGAGGTCCATGTTCTTTAAGGAAGCTAAGGAAGCTGTGCTGTACTTTGTGCAAGACTTTTAGGACATCGTTTATCGTTTACGGCCGGATATCGGTTTAATCTACAGTTTATTGACAGCTAAATGTATTGATTTTAATTTATCTTTATTAATCGACAACAGAACGTATTTCAAGGAGGTAATACAATTATTGTCAATTCAGTCCGGTGCCCGCTTAACAGAGGTTTTTAACCATAGAAATTACTCAAATACAATTTGTTGTAGTGCCCGCGTCCGTTTAATACAGGTGTCCGCAGAATAGGGGTTCATCATAAAGAGAAATATAAGACGTTCGTTTATTTCGGGACTCGGCTTAGTGTACGCTTAATAGAGGGTGTCCGCTAAATAGAGGTTTCACTGAATTATCGAGCATACTTCTCACCTAAACGTTTTGTCCTTTAGGAGCATATCCTTCCAGATGTTTATGGCTATTTCGACAGTCTCTGGAATGATAAAGCCTTTCTTTGCAATGTTTATTGCCGGCTTAAAAAGCTCCCTCCACGGTAACTTGCCATATTTCTTCCATGCAGCCTCTAAACCTCTCAACTCACCAGGAACAGCTACCGCTAATCCACCTGGGAAGAGGAAAGAAGAAGAACCTACTCTCGGCAAATGAGTAAATCGTGTTTGCTTTTCCAGAGGACTGATCTTGGACTAGCATAACGTAGCATACATGTTACTTGAGGCTTATGCAGTGAATATCAGTGAATAAAAAACTATTTGCATGTGGAAGGATATCCTGTAAATCAGAATCCTTCGCATTCCAGTTTCTGTTCAAAGCGCAAAGTGCGAAAATGGTCTAGCCAATGGTTGTCTCTTGGACGGTCGTTTTTTTTCTCATGGTTCGTTATGCGTCAAATAAGGCTAAATGGGTGACGATGAACCTCCAACAGAGACTTTGTTCTGGCTCTTCGGGCGACGATGAAGACGAATACGTGACTCGTCACGAACTTGGATGGCTACAGTTGTAGCTAATCCTGGATGGAGCCTTGCGTTCACAAACGCTTCATTTTTTTGCTGATTTTTATGATTAAAGACTATATCTTTGGCATTATTCTAAGCTGAAAACGTAAAAAATTAGAAATGCTTTGACGCCAAATTTATTAAATTCGGACGCTTCTATGAAAGGTGGCACTAGCTCAACAAGTCTTTGTTGTTGTTGTTTACACCTTAGGGCGCAGCAACTAAATGGATGGCGCAACCTCACCTCTAATACCGTTCGTTGGATTTCCTTTAAACAAGTTTTCGTCAGACTTCTCAGGGGCGGTCTCTCTAAAATCGATCATCTCCCCTGACTTTTTATAACTGTCATAGACCATCATAAAGCCTCCGCCACCGATTCCAGTAGAGTGCAAATTAATAACACCCACACATAGGGTGGCGGCAATAGCAGCGTCGACAGCCGAGCCTCCCCTTTTTAGGATGTTCCGCCCGGCTTTTGAGCATTCTACATTGTCCGTCGCAACTGCTGCGTGACGATATCCGTACTGTTTACTTGGAAGTTTGACCTTGGTCGGACTGCATTTTCCAGGGAAAGACATAAAAAACAGCTGTCAAGACTCACTGACTAGTAAGTTATGAATCTGATTTTATCTAAAATAATCCAGGTAAAACTTTTTTTTTTTGACCATTTAAATAATTTGGGGCCCCCAAGCCCCCAAGCCCCCAGCCAACCCGGCCCTCCAGCCTCCTAGCGCCCCCAGGCCTTCCTTTCCCTGATCTCTGTTTAACGTACACCGAACCCTAATCGATAGGCGTTCCGTATTAAAGTTGATCACTCACAATGAAATTCAAGTATGTCAATTAATGTAGTCTCTGCTGAACAGGTTCTGCGATTCACTTATTTCTAGTCATGAAATTCAAGTATGACAATCAACAGTACAGGTGTCAAAAGATCTTAAAGAACGAATATTATTCCCTTTGGAGGGTATTCTAGTCGATTAAAGGGTTATTTCCTACAGTATGTTGCAGGTTCCCATCTACAGTGTATGCACATGGATAAATCAGACAGCCAAGGTGAGCCAAAGTTTCATGTCGTTGTTGACTGTTGTCAGTTTCTTTTGCCTTGCCCATTCCTTGCAAATATCTCCTTTCCCCCTACAATTACAAGTCTCATGATTAAGTTATTTTGTCATTCTCACTTGTTTTGCCTCTCTTAAGAACATCAACTTGGGAAAACGATTTTGGGACCCACTTCCCTCCTCCAGCTCTGACGGTTAATCACGTGAGAACCAGTTCGGGATCAACACGGTTCTTTCTTTCTGTTGTAGATAAGCCGCTGGTGTTATGACTTTACAAACTATGCTCTCTCAACGGACAACATTGAAAATGATCGATCAGCTTCCTAAAATGGACGCCCAGAGTTGGTTCCCGCCTTTCTTTATTCAGTCTTTTATCTGAATCTCCACACGACGGACACCCCGCCAAAACGTACACCTGGAGTTGGTGCCTGCCTTTCTTTACCCCTATTAGTTGACTCTCTATAAGACGGACATCTCTCAAGAGGAAAGAATATAGTGCCAGTTCTAAAGGTGTCCGTCTTAGAGAAGGTTGGCTTAGTTTTAAAGCGATTTCTACGTACGAAGCTGTAAAAGGAAAGGTAGAAATTTTTTTGCTTGCAAGCAATCTCTTGTAGACAATGTTGCGTTTATATGTTTCAATTAACTGATAAATTTTAATATCGACTTGTAGTTACCGCGGCAATAAAAATATTGACTATCAATTTAAAACTACTGCACCACCAAACGTCCTCGAGCTGAAAACTGTTAAATGTTCAGATTTATTTTTATGGCTGAAATGAAGCATTTTCTTACCTTCCCATCATAAAACGTTTTCTCAAATTCCGCACAAACGGCGTATCCTTGAACATAAAGCCAAGTCCGGCGATCGCCGCGCAGGCCGTTATGAAGACGATTAAGACACGCAGATATCTCCTCGTAGAACGAGTGGCGCACTTTCTTTCCAACATGGCGACGGAAACCTCTCGCCAAAGATCTCAGAATACGATGTTAATTTGTTCTTGTAACTCGCTGAGTGGATTTTACAGGTGGTTTACTGAAAAGAAACGCTTGGCGAAACTTCCTATCAATTGGCCACTAAGTCACCCGTGTTGGGGTCTGGTACCCGCGCTTTTGTTTTGAAACGTAACCATGTGCGTCATGGAATTTATCATCACCTTAACAGTCTAACAGGGCCAGTTAGGGCTGTGTCGCTTGGTTTCCTTGTCGCTTTGGAAAGACAAGAGACACCACATGACTCGATCATGCGACAGCATCCACTGATTTAGCGCCCCAATAGTGAACAAATGACCCAAGATAATATCATCAGTGGACCGAATTATCTGTTAGAAACCCATGGTTCCCTACTGCGATTCTCAAATCTTGTCATTCTGACCAAAACGTTTTATTCCGATCAAACTTATTCCGATCCCGAACTTACATTTCGCGGGCAGAAAATGCCTTTCAGCTGCTAGATAGTGGGATATAGAACAAAGTGATAAGAACAAAACTGGTTGAGAAAAATGAAGTGAAAATGAAATCAAGGACATTCAGAAAATGCAGCTGGATATCGCTCTTTTAAAACAACAGTTCCTAATCCAGGCATCACAAAATGGTTAATCCTGAATGTCGTTCCCCTTCTTCTCTAAAATACCTGAAATACAGTAAAACTCCGCATGCAAGAACCTAGTGAGTTAAGAACCCACAAGCTGAAATTTGACGTATAAAACACCGAAAAAAAATAGAACCTGTTCAGCCTGGCAAAGAAAGATAGGTTCTAATACAAGTGTGAAAAAATTCTGACAAAAGTTATTGTGTATACATTTTCTTTAATATATACTTGTTTGGATTTTTACCAGAAATATGTTTTCCATAAACCATTATGTATGAGAAGTACAATATTTCTGCCAATGGTTACACTACACCAACCTCCAAAAAATAAGAACCTGTTAAGACTAATCAGCCTGAATTGTGAAAAAACTACTCTAAAATATAAGAACCTGTTCAGCCTGACCTCGAAAATTCTAGTTTCTTATATGCGGGTTTTTACTGTACGACTCTACCATTAAATCGCCTCAAAATGATCCAAATTGGGTTCTGTTTGACAAAATTTATTGGCTTCTCCTTCATTTCAAATTCATTATCGTCAAGCTCCTTGAGTCAGGAAGATGTTCGTTTTGAACTTAAGTCAGAGGTACCCGTGAAAAAAAAAATACAGACTAATAATTTGTCACCTTTAGTTAATTTGTTAGCAGTGTGAAATAAAACACTCTAATTTCGACAGAGAGATATGACCCATTTGATAATGGTAACATAAAAAAACTTTATTCTGCACAATTATATTACATTAAATGTTACTGACTAAATATCTACAAATTATATAAGCTGAAAATCGTTTTGGACTAAAAAATAACATTGGTCTGTGAATTGCGACCTTCCAGCTTTTTTTACTTAAATCCTTTCATCAGAAAATGGATCAAGTGCAATAGTGATATTGATGTTCACCGAATAACGGTTTCAGTCGAGATCTGTCAAGAACTGAATCATGGTTTAAGGCACCAAAAGACAACGTTCTGATATTTTCTTTACATTTTAACTGTACCCTTTATTAAAAAGCGCTTGCGAAACTTTTCTTAAACTTGCAACTTCCAAATTACTTTAAACACCTCATTAAAACTCGCTAGCGTTTGATTAGCTCAGGACAGAAGCGTCCTATTTCGATTCAATCTGGAGCTTAAAAAATTGTAGTCTCATTTAGTAACTCCTTACAAAAATCTGTTATACTTATTTTTCGTTTCCTTCTAAAAAACGCCAATTTATATTAAAAGAAAAAAACGCTTAGGGAAACGACTTGTTTTCAACGAGATATTGTCCTCTGTACCTCTCTCTCCGTTTCCTTGGACAGCGATGGCTGTGTTACATTACTTTCAAATACAACTAATATATAATTTTCTTTTAGCCTCAAATCTTGAGCTAGTCTATCTTGCCAGTCTCAAACACTGGACAGATGAAATGCGAATGAGACTTGGCTGACTTCTGGCCCAGTTGACACTTGACTTACGTGGTTGAAGCTTTAACGTTACCGTGCCAACCAAGAGAGTTGGCTCTGAGTATGTCATCCACAAGGCTATTAATTGATGTTCCACCGATGAGCTTATTAAAGAACACATGTTCCAGAATCTTAGGATCTACGGCGCCTAAAGACGTAAGCTTTATGAGAAGCTGTCCAAAGCGACTAGGTGCCTGCGGACGATGAAGGCGAAGATATTCTTCCAAAGCATTGCGTGTCTTGTTTTGAACTGCTTGGATCTGGACGGCATCAGAGAGCTGGTCAATATCTGTCAAAATATGAGATAGCAAAGTTTAATGATGACGTCCAAGTTTTCACGGTTTGAAACGACTAGTCAGAAACTTTTAGTTTTTCGTTCTGATAGAGAACTTTAATTTGCGGATTCCGGCCGGAGGACTTAGTACTACGAAGACGAGATTGAAGTAAAGTTTTTTTCGCATATTCTCAAAAACCAGACACCACGGAAAGGTTTCTTTACACTCAGTTTTTTCATCAGAAAAGTTAACACGGCCATTTTTGACAAAAGGAGGTTGAAGCCCTCTCCCGATCGCAAAGTGGTAAAACTTCTAACATTTGATAACTTGCTTCCGCCAATACAACATTAAAGGCTCGCAAAAAGATGTAGTAGAATGACGACGGCTATCCGGTTTTCTCGCCAAAATGACGCTGGTTCACGCATGCGCAGTGTTTGAGTTTTGAGAAAATCTTGTACACGAGGTCGTCCTTATCTTAGAATCTTAAAAGGTCTGTAATAACTATAGAGCGTTTTCACTCACGTGGCCAGCATCTATGCAAATTCATTGGAACAAAAGAAAGTGTTTGCATAAGAAAAGAGGTCAACTCCCACAGGATTGTCTTGGTACACCAGCATGGCCGCCGTTTCATTGTTTTGGAACACCAATATGGCCGCCGTGACGTCATGTGAAAACGCTCTTATTCTGTGTCCAGGCGAGGGTTCAGTTTAGAGACGAATTCCCGCCAGTGAAGCCATTAGATCGTTGATAAATATATATGATATTTTTTTTTTGCATATTTTCCTGTTTTGAAACTGAAATTGCTGCCGCAGAATGGTCGCATACAATATTTATCTAGTACTTAATAAATGAAAATTGAAAAACACCTTGTCTTGACTGTTGCTTAATGTTTGTCCTTTACAAAGTTTACCAAAAAAGCGGCGAGTGCGCTATATTACCTTTTGTGTTAGTTACTACTGTTAGCTCCCCTGACTCTTGCAGATGCCGTTAATTTATTTATGGATTAAGCTGTTTCGTCGCGCTATTTAAAAACCCCTAAAAAGCAAAAGCAACGTTCCAATATTTGCTAAAATGTATATCTGCCAAGTTTCACGCCTGTGGATCGAAAACTTCGATCTCATTCCTACTCACGCCTGGTAGAAAAGTTTGAACCATTACAGCGTTAACTGACATATTTTGAAAAATATATTAATTATTTAAAAAAACTGGAACCAATGAGCGAAAAAAAAGTCCATGTGATTGATCGACTTTCTTCGAATTCTCTTATTTTAGTAGGGAAAGTCACTGGAGACAAGGTCGTGTTCATTCGTGTTCTTGTGTTCGTGTTCATGTTCTCATGTTATCGGATAATAACGCCCCCTTAAGCGCACGCATTTTTTTGAGTTTCTTCAAAGAATTCGTTGCTTCCCATCTAAGGCAGAAGTGGAAATGTCATCCATTCCAGCGATATCGCAGAGACCAACGAAGACTTCTGCTTTCAGAATAATATTTTTTCAATGTTAATATTGAAGCTAACTTATATTGCACGCAGTATTAGAGAATACTAGTCAAGCAGTTAGGTCAAAGCTAAGAGGTGGTTCATTCAACCCACCTGAAGTAGTAAATCTAAACGATTGAAAAAAGCCGTTGTTTTGAGGAAGCTTTTCAATGTTCGTTTACAAACAATTTTATTTAGAATAGCGCTTGAAACACGCGAACATTTATAACAAGTTCATTATTTTTATGACTGCAAGTAAAAGAACAAAAACAGTTTCCGACTTAACACCTGGCTGAGAAATGCGTGGCCTTTATAATCATATTCTTCGTCGGTAAAGTTGTCGTTTTTCATCCATGTTATTTCCGCAGTAAATCGATTATTTCATCATTTTAAACTAGCATTTGCCGGAAGGGTTCCTTTTTCGCGGCAAAGTCAAATACGACATTGTTAATTGCCGTATATATGCACGATTAACTCGGCAAAAAGTTAAAATCAGTATATTCTCTGTCGTGTTTTGCTCCTTTCAAAAAATCCTTTTTAATCCGCATTTTAGGAACACGTACAAAAGGCGAGAATTCGAACTGATTAATTTCCATGGCAAAAGTTAGAATGTATATAAAGAGCCGAAAGACCCTTCCGGAACGATAATTTCTTTTTCAATAAATTAAAAAGGGATTTGTTTTTCCGTTGCAAATGACACTGTATTTTTTAATCGGCAAATTCAAGGCAATGGTCTTGCCTAAAAGAGAGATAAAGAATAAGGTTAAAATTTGAATTACGTTTAGCTGATGCTCCGCAAACGACGAGCGAAATCTTGATTAAGGTATTAATAGAATATGGCCCCCCACAAATTTCACAAATTTCCCAGTTATTAGGATGCCCTGTTTATGCAATATGGAGCAATGTATTTTCAAAATATCACGATGGCCGTTCACGTTCAGTTTAATTTTCACACCAGTGATCACTGAATATTGTTATGATCCAAAAAAGGGCCAGTCTTTGTAAGAAACCAAAATTTGTAATTGGAAAACTGCGATGCACTATTTTTTTCAGGGAACTAGCGTTAAGAGTTTAAATTTGTCAAACGTTGAATACAATTATGGAGGCATTATCAAATGTCACCATATTTTTATGACACCTTTGAAATTAAAGCAGTTTTTGATTAAATTTCCTTGGTACGTGCTTTAACTTGAAAATGACATTCGTGAAAGGATTTAGAAGGCGTTGCTCTGGAATATCTAAAAAGCCCTTCAGATAAGTTTTGACACTTTAACGCGTCTCGTTCACTTTGGAATATCATATCACAATTTGAAGAAGGCGATAAGTATTCTTGTATTATAATATTGCCAGTTTTGAACGCAATTGTTAGTAAATTTACGAAGATACTGATGTCGAAAAAAAAGACACAAGTCAGAAAAGAAAAGTACTTTAATAGTAATAGGTCAAAAGGTCTGGGAATAGCACCGAGCTCAATAAAATTAAACGACAGTTTTATGCGTGGCAGTCGAACCGTACTTTTCCTCATTAAGTTTTATACAAAAACGGACAAAAATAATCTTTTCTCAACTTACCCGGGTTAAATAGCACCAAAGCCTTCAGAAGAGTAAACTCAGCCCGGTTTAACTCCAGCTGTACAAGTTTAAAAACAGCTTCATTCAACTTCCCAATGTTATGAAGAACTCGATCCAGGTGTTCCCGAGGTGTTTTTTCCACGACTTCAGCCACTATAGGCGCCAACTCGAATGGCATGGCCCACTGAATTAGGTTAATCACGAATATCTTGCACCAGTTTTCTTGCAAAAGCATAACTTGGTCGTAATGAGAGAGTTCTGCAAAGTGGCGAACGTTCTTTGCCCAGTGAATCGACATAAACAGGAGACGCGCGGCGATTTCTGTTGAGTTCTCTTGAACCGGTAATTTTGTAGCGACATTGGAACCGAGGTCGTAAGGGATGTTTTTCTCCTGATTCGACCTTGCTTCGCTTTTCGTTTGCGGCGTTTGATAAGGTTCCACCGCTTGCAGATGATAAACAAAATCAGACAACGAAACGAAGTCAGTCTCTCGGCGAATTTCACCCTTCATCTGTTGCCGCCGGACCCTTTTCCTTCCTTTTTCGACATCTTGCGCTCTTGTTTGTTGTACAGCTTAAAAGCAAACAAAACATTCATGCAAAATTATGTTTTTCCTTTCTCTCCAACGAGTCAAAAAGGAACGCCCATGCTTTATTTTTGAAATTAAACTTGCGGAACGATACACAGCATCCTGTTTCTGTAATAAGCCCACTATAACATTTTTAGGCAAAATAAAAAACGAAAATAACATTCTAAAATCATAAAGAAATGTCTGGTTTTAAAGCTTATGTTTACCTCACATTTCATTTTGTTATTAACAAATCCTTAATTAAGTTAAAAAAAGATATAATATATTTTGCGAAAAAAATGCCCGTTACTTGCGTCTTGACGACAAAAAGTTTCAGCAAGATAAAGAAAATTTTTCATTCCAGGTTATACTTCAGCTAAATTTTATTAAATGGTTCCAACTTAAACCCTCTTTCAACTTCTCTTAAACCTTGGAAAACAGATTTGATTAAAAAATATAAGCCTAAATAAAACTGAAACTGCAGATGTGCCTTTTTTTCTCTCTTCACACCAAAAAACTCAATGTAACTGATTTATATAAAAGCTATAGTCAGCCGTCGTTACCTTGAAAATAAGGTTCAGTGAGCAAATTTGAACACCATTCAGAAATCATATTTTCCTACTGCGAGGCAAACCATGCAAGACAATAAAGTCATGAAAGGAAAATAAATGTCGTTTTTAATTATCTCACCTTCTCTCTTCATTCCCACACGAAGGCATTTCCTCATCCTGCAGTATTGACAGCTATTACGGTACCGCTTGTTTACCGGACAGCATCCTGCTACTCTACAAGTGTAATACAAACGTTTCTTGATACTTCTTTTGAAGAACAATTTGCAACCCTCGCAGGTATTCGCACCATAATGTCGGCCGGTAGAGTGATCGCCGCACACGGCGCAAATCTCCATTTCTGAAAAGACTTGAACTGAACAGGGATCAACTTGATCGATAAATCAACTTCTGCACTCAGCGCGCACCCGAGTCAATAGCAGATCTTGTACTATGTGGGCTTGGGCAATGACCTAGTGATTTTATTGACGCCCCTCGCAATTTATATTACTGCACCATTCAAAGCTTAAAATCGCTACACATGTCACAGCTCGGTTGAACGGTGGTGATCAATCATTGATTAGCCGAGCCGAATTATTAACATTGAAACGTGAGGTNAAGGCATTTCCTCATCCTGCAGTATTGACAGCTATTACGGTACCGCTTGTTTACCGGACAGCATCCTGCTACTCTACAAGTGTAATACAAACGTTTCTTGATACTTCTTTTGAAGAACAATTTGCAACCCTCGCAGGTATTCGCACCATAATGTCGGCCGGTAGAGTGATCGCCGCACACGGCGCAAATCTCCATTTCTGAAAAGACTTGAACTGAACAGGGATCAACTTGATCGATAAATCAACTTCTGCACTCAGCGCGCACCCGAATCAATAGCAGATCTTGTACTATGTAGGCTTGGGCAATGACCTAGTGATTTTATTAAGGCCCCTCGCAATTTATATTACTGCACCATTCAAAGCTTAAAATCGCTACACATGTCACAGCTCGGTTGAACGGTGGTGATCAATCATTGATTAGCCGAGCCGAATTATTAACATTGAAACGTGAGGTGTATTAATTTTGTTTTCAGTAAAACAGTGTTTTTCTTTCGGAGGCATTCGTTGAATATTTATGTCGTGCTTTTTTCTAGAAAACAAAGCGTTGCTTTGACGTTAGGAAACAGCTTTAAATTGGGCAATGAAGTAGATCGAGCGTCGCTTGCATTTTTTAATGCTCTTTTTTGCTAATTTTCTTTTTTTCATTCTGTCATCAAGGGGTCTTAACTCGTGTGGCTTTAATTTGAAATAGTATAGAGAACTTGTTTATTTTTATTTCCAGGTTACATCTAATTCCTAGCACGCTGAGAGACCAGATTACCACTTTATGAGGACTTCACTGCGAAACAATATTCGCAGATGCGAATTTCGCACGCTATTTAAACAAAATACTTCGATAAGAAACAGCCTTCCGCCCAAACAAGTGTAGGCACAATTTGATCACAGAGTACCTCAATCGGTCCTTTTCAAGTTAAAGATACATGCTTGATATCATAGTAGAAAAAAGCCATTTATTGGTTAAGAAAACTTAAGTGTTTCCTGTGACGTCGTCGAAAAACGTCTCCTTAATCGAGAATTATAGAAAAAGGGCGATTAAAACAGGACCAAAAAAGATATTAACATCTCCATAGCTGTTTACACGGTAAATGAGAATTGTAATATACAGTAATCGTTTTAAAAAAGCGTTTCAATACATTGTATAAATTACGAACTGCTCAGTGTGAGAAAGCCGAATTCACCGCGAAGGATTATACTTTAGCATGAAAAATGGCCTCGCTTGTGAAAAAAATTGTAAAATTAAAGACGGGGAAAAATGCCTTTAATATTGATAATACAAATGACATTCCGGATATCAAGATGAGAAAGATGTTCAAGTAGGCAGCTTAGAATTGACAGCAATCAGATCAACTAAGTTTCAAGGTGTATGTCAAAGGTGATAACAAAGGCCTTCCTTTTTTACAAGAAAAAGCCGACAGTTTTTTCTCTTACATATTCTTCTTAAAATTTAAATTTTTGCTCCGATCCCTTCAATTCGGCCGTACGTAAGAGGCGCATGAAATAAAAATCGACTTCTGTTGTAAGAAATTAATCAAAACGAGTTTAGAATTATTCGCCATTTCATTAATTTTCACGTTACACGGTATTTTAAATTCGCTTTTAAAGTGACATTCACTCTTCAATGCACATAACGAGAAACAAATGACAAGTTTTTAACCAAATAACGAGTTAGTAATCAATTAAAAA